AAAGCCCTTCCCGCATTCTGTACACCTGTAGGGCTTCTCTTCTGCGGGGAGTTTCTGGCCATCAGCGATGAGGGCGAGTTTCTTGGAACCTCTTTTTTGGTGAGGGGTTTTCTTACAGGTTGCCCTCTGCTGCCTTTGCAGGCTGGGTGCCCCGCAGTCCGGGCTGCCGGCTTCAGGCACCTGAGGCAGCACATCTTGCTTGAGGTCTTCAGGGATGCCTCTCTCCTCCCCGCTGTCAGTCAAAACGCAGTCCCCTGATGGAGGAAGAGAGCAATCTGACACTCCTCCTTCCCCCAGACACATCAGCGGCTCCTGGTAAAACAACTGAATTGCTCCCCAGCATCAACTAGCACCAGACTCCTCTTTTCCAAACAGGAAGGAAAATCATGAAGATAGAGACAAGAAGACAAGGAAAAGAAAGAGTGGCACAGGGAAGAAGAGAGAGAAAAACTCCTACCTCTTTTCTTCCTTCCCCTCCCCACTTCCTTGCTCTCCCTCCCCTCAGGGAATGGCAAAGGCAGAGTGCCAAAATGAAGGCAGGCAACGTCTTACCCATCACAAATGTCTACTTTTACCCGTTTGTTCCGGAAGACTTTGCTCAAAAGCCTTCCGGCCTGCTAAATTAGTATTAAAACTCTGGTTTAAAGCTGTGCGTTTGGGTGGGGATGGTTCAACACAAAAAAAAAAAAAACACCAAGTCCCCTTAACCTTCGTTAGGCAAAATCAACAGGGAGGTTGAAGCTGCATTAGTTTATTCACTGAAAAATTTAAAATTACTTCTTTTACAGGTTGCCACATCAGGTTTTTTCCCCAATTATCACACCAACAGTTGTAGTTATTATAGGGATACTGTATATTTATGCATGAGAAGTCAAAGGAGTTAGATTTTTATCAATAAAAAATAATTAATTGCCAATTAACTCTATCTCTTTCATATGTAGAGCTAGTAGGACACCTACTTTTCTTGCAGCGACAAGCTAAATAAATTGCATTCCAAGCAAGCTCTCAGGAAACATTCACAGAATCACAGAATATTTGGGGTTGGAAGGGACCTCTGTGGGTCACCCAGTCCAACC